AGATGTTTTTGGTCTTCCCAATGTTTAATTCAGGAGGTTATAATTCTGCCAAAACTTACATTAGACAAGGAATCAGTCTGAGCCAATGGAGTTGTTGTGACGATGGAAAGATTAAGTACATTCCATGTCTGCGGGTTATTTCTTCTTTTTATTAGAACAAATAAGTACATAATTAAGAAGAAAAATAACTTACAATGTAATTTGTATGAAATGCATGTTCTCACTAACCTTTCTTTTAGCTGGGGCTTTTTCATTGAATGTGTCGCCCATTTGGATTACTGCACAGTTTACTGGGTACACTAGTGTTTAGCATGATTGGTCTATTAACCCACCTTAGCGGCCGTGCCACCTACTGATTTAGAGTTTAGAATCACATGTGGCAATTGAGAGAATATTTTACTTCCTTGTACTAATGAGATTAGGCTAAGACTGTTTAGTGATAGGACATTGGATGCATGCAGTTTTCATATTCACTAATGGGGTTTTGGTGTTGCCTATGCTCCTACAGCACCCTAATGCGCAGCAAAAATAAGGAAACTTTTTTTTGGCAGAACGTTCCCATAGTTTCCAATACTTATGTTGGCTGATCAGAAGAACTTGACTTGTCAGGTAATCCCAGATCCAAAACACTGCTTGTGCCTGCAATAACCTTCACTTATATGATACTTTTAATATAACAGAATAACCTAAAGGCAAATTACAATTGCAGAAGGTGACAGGAATGGATATTCATGGGAAATTGATCAGAAAAAATACTTTGCAATAGTCATTTAATTTCTAATATAGCATTTTGTTGAGAAAAGATGAAAAGGAGAAAATATGTACATTGTTAGTAATAACACATAATTTTATTGCAGGGGTCTGTCATTAGAATATGAACTGTAGTGATTGTTTACAAGAAAACATACATTAAAAACAGTCAAAATGTGTAATGCTGCAATATCTTTTGAATGACGGGATGATTGCCACTGGACAGTTTGTAAATATTTACCATCTCTGTTTTATACTATTTATAAAGATCCAGGCATTAGGTACGTTTTGCAAAGCTTTAATATCATGAGAACATAATTTTAAAAATTTTAACATAAGTGTTCTATACAGTAATAAGCAGTATGTGCATTTTCAAATACAGTGTTCAATACTGTACAACATTTACAGATGCTACAGTTCATTGTAAAAATCAAGATAAATGAGCAAAGAAAGGAAATAGTACTATGGCAGTGATCCCTTTCTAATCTTCAGAAAGCAGATGAATAACTCTGGTTGAGAGGAATGGTTATCCTGAGTTGGTTTTCTTCTTAAAAGTCATCAGTCCCTGACTAGATTCTTGACTCAATTCATGGAAGTGCACCTGTTTAAACAAAAGTTTTGAGAAACCGAGTGATCAGGTTGTTCTATGTCAGCAGTGGGAAAAGTGTAAATAAGGACTGGGACAGCACACAGGGAAAATCAGTGATTCCTTTATTAGCCAACCAATATTGAAGAGAATAGAACACCATAAATTGTGTAAAAAGCAGCACTGTGGGAATTACTGCCAGGAAAATCAGCTGTTTTTGTTTTTGGCAATTCAAAATGGAACAAATAAACAGAATCCCTGCTCAAAATTATTTAAACAAAATACTCATCTTTGTTTTCAAATCTCTCTGTGCAGTAACTCCTCTATATTTTTGTAATCCGATACTGCAGCAGTTCATATCCAAATACTTGGATAATTTCCAGGCCTGGGGTGAAAAATAGCAAGTAACATTTGCGCCACACAAATGTCAGGCAATGGGAGACAATCTAACCACCAGCCCTTGACATTCAACAATTGATATTCATCACGGAACCTCCTCCACTATCAATATTCTGGATGTTACCATTGACCAGGAACTGAACTTGACTAGCCATACAAATACAGTGGCTACAACAGCAGGTCAAAGGCTAGGAATCCTATAGTGTGTAAGTCACCTCTTGATTCCAGAAAGCCTGTCCACCATCTACAAGGACTAAGTCAGGAGTGTGGTGGAAGAGTGCAGCTCCATCAACACAAAAGAAACTTGACACCATCCAGGACAAAGCAGCCCGCTTGATTGGCACCACAACCACAAACATCCACTCCTTCCACCAACGACACTCAACAGCAGCAGTGTGTATTATCTACAATATGCACTGCAGAAATTCAACAAAGATCCTTAGACAGCACCTTCCAGACCCATGACACTACCGTCTAGAAGGAAAAGGGCAGCAGACAGATGGGAACACCACCACCTGCAGGCTTCCCCTTCAAGACACTCACCATCCTAACGTGGTAACACACGGCAGTTTTTTTCAGTGACATTAGGTCAAAATCCTGCAACTCCCTCCCGAACAGTATTGTAAGTCTATCAATAGCACATGGGCTATGGCAGTTCAAGAAGGCAGTTCACCACCACCTTCTCATGGACAACCAGGATTGGGCAGTTAAAGCTGGCCCAGCCAGCAATAATCTTGTTTCATGAGTGATTTGAAAACAAAATCTCTTTCAGCCCCACCCTCCTCTAATTCTGGCTTCATGAGCATCCACAATTTTAATTCCTCTACCTTTGGAAGCTGTACTTTCCTCTATCAAGGCCTTAGGCTCTGGAAGTACCCTTCCAAGCAGTTCCTCCTCTCCAACTCTCTCCTTCTTTAACACACTCTTTAAAATCTACCTCTTTCAGCAAGTTTTCAATCATTCCATATTTCTAATATTATATTAGATCTAATATTTCCATGGGTGGCTTGGTGTCAAATTTTGCTTTAAAATTTTCCTGTGAAATGCCTTGTGATATTTTATTACATTAAAAGCGCTATAAAATTACAGGTTGCTGCTACTCTAAAATTCGGAACTTTGAGCAAAAGTTAACACGTTGAGGAATAGAGATAGTAAGAACTGCTGATGCTGGAGTCTGAGATAACACAGTGTGGAGCTGGAGGTACACAGCAGGCTAGGCAGCATCACAGCAGCAGGAAAGCTGACGTTTTGGGTAGGGAAGGGTCGGGAAGGAGGGTCCCGAACAGAAACATCAGCTTTCCTGTTCCTCTGATGCTGCCTGGCCTGCTGTGTTCCTCCAGCTCCACACTCATTGAGGAATAACTTGGTTACATGATGAAAGCATTTAGGTTTGAATGCTAGGGCTGCCAATCATTCAGGTTAGTTACCTTGGCTATGCCAGTTCTCAGCTGGCCCACATAGGTGTACTCAGTCAGGATGTGGGGAAGAAGCTAGAAGGAACAGACTAGCTTGAAAATAAACAGGACATCAGTGAGGCCATTGTTAGAATACAGTGCTCCAATTCTAGTCTCTCAGTTATAGGAAAGATGTTGTTAAACTTGAAAGGGCTCAGGAAAGATTTACAAGGATGTTGTCAGAGTTGGACAGTTTGAGCTATCGGGAGAGGCGGAATAGGCTGGGGCTATTTTCCCTGGAACGTTGGAGGCTGAGGGGTGACCTTATAGAGATTTATAAAATCATGAAGGGCATGGATAGAGTGAATAGCCAAGGTCTTTTCCCCAGGGTAGGGGAGTCCAAAACTAGAGGTCATAGGTTTAAGGAGAGCGGGGAAAGATTTAAAGGAGACCTGAGGGGGGCAACTTTTTCATACAGAAGGATTTAGAGGGATATGGGCCAAATGTGGAAAATGGGACTAGATCAGTTTAAGATATCTGGTTGGCATGGACAAGTTGGACCAAAGGGTCTGTTTCCTTGCTGTTTATAATTGTATGACTGTCACAATTTGAAAAGAGCAAATTGTGATGTATATTTCACAATAAAATACAGAAGAATCTGTGGTTCATGTAACAAATAGCATGTAGCAAAATATGCAAATTAAGGTTTCTTAGCTGCTCAATTGGTAAATACACTGCTGAATGCAACATTGAGTTCGACAAGTTTGAATCTGTTGGTTCTGAAGTTTGTTGATTTCACCTGAGAGGTAGATGGGTTGATCTTGGTAATAAGTAAAGCCATTTACTGACAGTAGTATCGAATTTGACTCTAATAGAACATGTGTGATTAAAGCACTTACTGTTGGGGTTCAATGGAAAACCCACTTAGAAAAGTACCAAAGGGATGAAGGTGCCCTTTCCTGTACACCATTCTATGAGTTGTCAAAATTAGCTGAGGAGGGATTAATGGTTTATTTGAAATAAGAATACAAAATAGGATGAATTTTCTTAGCCCTGAACAATATGGGCAAGGGCTGGTCAGTTAGGAAAATATGGCAAGAGTGAGAGACCAGAAAAATTAAATTCTCAATGTTTAGAAAATAATGGCTGATTTCCAATAAAGGTTTGAACAATGAGACTAGAATCTTGTTTGTGAGCAGCATGCATTTACATCTCAAAATTGAGTAGACAGCAACAACTCCTGAGATGAAAGTCACAGCAGCTACCTGGTGGCTCCAGCTCTCCACTTACTCCTCCAGGCTTCCATCTTACCTGAAGGCATGCGGTAGCGACTGCCTTCATCCTTCCCCCATTTCACAGAGTTTGGCATTTGTCTCACCACATCATCATGGCTCATTTCTCAATCACTTAGAATACAGTTATCTACTTTAATACTGCATTTTGAGTCCACTGATGCCTTCCATTGTAAAGCTACTGCCAGGTACCTTATATGCAGAGAGAGCACCGATCCCACGTATCAGAGCAGGGTGCATCTCAAAGCCTTTTGTTTGCTTCTATAGCAATTACTCTCTTTGCCTGGATACTCACAGCATCTCTGCCTTGCCTAACTTTGCATTGACATTTTGCATTTTTCTATCTCATTCAGAACTTATAGGCTCACAGTACATTTGCCTCGTCTTGCCTTTTAGCAGAGACACAAAGCCAGGCATTTTGTTGTGGTTTTCAGCAGTGATCTCTTAAAGGGGTAGACATGTTGCTGTATGTCACCATACCATATCAGTATCACACCTGCTCCATGTACAAGCAGCTTATGTGGTAAACACACTGCATATATTTCAACCAAATAGAAATGTCTCAGATTCTAAGTCCTCGCTCAAGTCTGGGAGCTGCTGTCCGTCAGGGCATACTGGCACAGTAAATGTAGGGCAGTGTCCAATCTTAGATCAGGGGCTTGGACGCAGTCAGTCAGCTGTTTGGGGAGTTCAAGGTCAAAGCTCCATATCATTTCAATCAGGGGGTGGGCAGCTTCAGTCCTGAAGGACCGGTGCAACGAGTCAGTAGATTTGCAGTAAGTCAGTTGAAGAGCTGCATAGAGATTGGTCAGGAATCTAGGTCACTCATCTGTCAGGAATGTCCTTCCAAGATGGCCAGGAGCATGTACAACGCTTAGTCCTGGGAGTCTGTTCATCAAAGTCAAGGTGAGTTGGCAGGAGAGGGAAACCCTCCATGATACTCCCCGAGTATGACACCTACCGACCTTTGGTAAAATTGAGTCAAATGTTATGTCTATGAAACGTGGAATTCCACTGTATGCTAAATCAATTTAATCTTAATTAGTCATCTTGTTCAGTCAGTTTTACAAACATTACAAAGGAGGCATAACTGACAATAAAGCATATGCATTTTACATGCTTTAATGTATGCATATTTTGATATAAGAAGATATGTATCTTATCAGAAATTCTTGAACAAGAGATATTTAATTGTTAAAGTGCATTTTAATGTTATAATTGGTGTGCTAATTTAACAAGGGAAAATACATGGTAATATCATGCTTGAATCTGTTATTCTCTTGTTACTAGCAAAGCACCAAGTAATTTTTGAGAATAACACAATGATGTGCAAATGTCATGAACATTTCAAAAGGAATAATATTCTTATTTCCCTTCCTAAGCCTGAAGAAACGGTATTGCCTATAAAATCTCTTATAAATGGTTATTTCTGTTCATTTAAGTTCAAACTACTTTTATTATTGCCAATTCCTTTGAGCGTATGTGATGTGTCATTAGTGTCTTTTTAAGGCTTTTAAAATGAGCTAGGCTGTTATTGTTGAATATTCCTTTTTTGTGATAATGACATTTTTTCTTCTGGTCTTATTAAGTGAATATATGAATACAAAAGTAAATGCAGTTACAATCATTTCCCATGTCATGTGTCATAGGTGTTATACATTTTAAGTCTATGAACACTTCCTGTCTTTATAGTTGTGTCAGAATAAAATGTGGGAGGCAATGCCTAAAACAATCCACTTGTGAACATGAGGCATACCAGATGCTGATAAAATACTGCTTTAAATGCAACAGAAGTGCATACAGCTTGAGAATAAATGTGGAATAGACTTTAAATTTTATCATTCTTATCAAGAATCTTAAGATATACAAATTTGTTGGAATTCTTATGATCTTCCGCATACTTTTTTCAAGAAGTGTTTTTGTGGTTTAATGCACCAATATGAAAACAATGACTAACCTAACTCTGCATGGCACAGGGAAGCAGGTTTAGATCGAACAGCTTGAATCAGAATAATGAGTTCACTCAGAGCCATGTGCCTACTCTGAGTATAAGACCAAGGAATGGTTGAAAACTTTGTAGGAAATCATGTGAAGCAAGGCTGAGGTATGAGCACTTTGGATCAAATCTGTACCATGACAAAAGTAAGTTTTGTTTTTGCCTTACAGGATAATTTGAAAAATATTATTCATCATTCTGATATGCATCTATGGCTGAAAAAATATGTGACAAGGAATTACTGGCTGGGAAAATCACCCAATTCACCTAAATTAATCAAAGGAAAGCCAAACATAACAGCTAATTTCAGGTAAAATTTAGCCTGTGTCAATTTTGGTGAGTTTCATGGAGGGCTTCTCTCCATGAGGCTTAGCGCAATTTCTGATGCTATCTTCCAAAACACGTTACCTATGTGCCACACCTCTATGATGCCCTGCTTGTCATATTGTGCCTCTTGCCCCAGATGGAAGTATTTGCCACTACTGAGACTTCCCATGATTTATGGATTTGGCACCATGTTTAAAACTCAGTTGGATAGCAGAGCAAATGTAGTCAGTCTGGAGCTGCCCTGCACAGTTCATGTGAAATGCCCAGGATATGGAGGACAGAGGAAAATTGGCATCCTGCTTTGCCAATTGGGACAGGGAGCTCCTGGTGGATAGGGTAGTGCAGAGGAATGCTGGCCTCTTTCCTCGGGACTGGCAATGGAGAGCAGGCCACTAGACACTGCTAACCTGGTCAGAGGATGCCATATAACTCAGTGCTGTTTCTATGGTTACTGAAATGCCCAACAATACAGGAAGATGGTCAATAACCTGCTCCAATCTGAGAAGGTAAGTGCCACCATCTTCTCTTTGCTCACACTATTTCAATTACCACGCACACCTTTCACCAAGGCTCATACTCAATATGAATGAAACACCTTACGGGCTCACCTACCCAATCTCCCTACATCACTAACCTTGAATGGTTTCTGCACTGCCTACTCACTCACTCAGGACGCTTCACCATCTGTTTCCCTCTGCACCAGCACTAACAGCTGTACCACCCAGTGACATCTCACTTAATCCCCCAAATGTATCTCTGTGCAGTTCCCTGAATGACTTATTGCAACACTCTGGGCTTATTGTACTGTCCTACAGGGCTGACTGTGGCCCACCCTGTGGGTACAGACACACTGATTCTGATTACCCTAAGCAGCCACAGTTCCTGGGCTGATTTGAATGCTGCCCTTGACTTCCAGAGCCAGGACCCCCCTGACTGAAGGTTCTATCACTTGACTGAGTGCTATTGGCCTTAGACTTTGAGACATGCATGAGAAACGTGTGGAGGAGCTAGTATGTGTCCAATGCCAACATCTATGATTGGGGAGTGCATGCAGCCACTGCCCATGGAGCATGAGACATCGGTGACTCCTATCAAAGATGGAGGCACAGACGAGCAAGCTGGAGTCACAGGGTGACCTTTCATGTTGGTAACTGTCACTGTCTAATTTATATCTGAAGGGTGGGAAAATGGAAATCTGCATACAAATGAGGTGAGATTCGTTAATAATGACATGATAATACATGCAAATCGACCTCTTCCTGATATTGTTGTCTCACCCTTCAATTCTTTTCAATTTCAAGAATCTCACTACTGCTGATCTCACTCTATCTTCTCAACTTTCTTGCTAATGCCCACACTGTTTAGGGTCTGGGAGGATTTGCTCCCTATGGACCCACAATTTCCCAGTCAGTGCTCCCTGAGACTAATATTCCATGCTGAGAATGCTCAATCCCCAAATCAATCCTTTTAATTCATTCTACATCCCTTCAACTCTGAAATTTGGTAAACTGATATCCAACTATTAACAGTTGAACAGATCTATAGAGACAGACAACTGGGAATTAAAACTTGATTTTAGTGCAGTCAGTATACCAAGCAAAATTAAAGTCACAAGTGATATGATTTCACTTCTTTTCTTTCATTTCATTTCAGTTATCTTAAGTATGTCATGATGGAAAAGAGATTGCTGCAGACATGATTACCTCTGTATTTTGAATTTACTGAATGACAGCTGAGTTGTTACTTGAGACAAATAAGTAAGCCACTTACCACTTGCACATCCGAGTGAACTCTGGAGAGGAAGTCTAGCAGTTCATTATTGTCAATGAGTAATGGATTACGAAGTTTCTTGGTGAATTTATGGATACCTGTTAAGATTGTAACGGAAGAATCTCAGACATTTAATTTTTTTTCATTTTCTGCAGATCAAACGACTTTTAATATGATGAACTGTAATCAGGAGATGGAGCGAACCCCTATCACACTTGTGGGAATGAGCTTGGACTTCTACGTAATGAAGGCACCTCACATGGTTTTCTACTACTAGTTTGTATTATTGAATTGTGCCAAGCCTTCTCATATTACAGTGCAAAAGCAT